GGTATCTAAACCCTTTCTTAGCTGCTTAAACTTGTATAGACATTATTTAGAAGTAAAGTTACAAGATAAAACTTGAAGTCTCTTTTTTTTTAGGTAAGGGAATAAGTTCTTGTACATGGTAATATTTTTTAAATTTTCATTTATGCCTTTGAGATATATATCACCAATGTAAAGATAAAAGTCCAGAAAAAAATTAGTATTGCATTGTTAAATACTTAGATACCAGATTGACAGGAAATAAAAGTACTAGATGGCATACTAAATGATGAGTGTCACTTTAGCAACTCATTTCTAGGGAAGACTTTTTAGTTCTTGGTACTGTACTAGAACTTCTATTTTTATTTCCCTTTGCTTTTCCCTGTCACATTGATAATTGGGTCATTTTGGCTTGATATATACTTCAAAAATGGGTTCTATTTCTGCAGAAGCTCGTTGTTGTCTGTCCAGCCTGAAGCAGGGACTTTTAAGTATCTGGCATGGCTCCAGATGGTGCCTCATTTTGGTAATTTAGAGTTATGTTCACCCTGGGCTTGGATTTTTATCTGTTCATGGTGGCACTGAATACCCTGGACCCAGCCAACCCTGTCTAGAAAAACTTACGTGTTTAGAAATTTCCACAAAACCTGTCTTTTATGTTGTTCTTGGAGCTGAAATGGAATTTAAGAAGATTTGTGTAATCCCACACCCCAGAACCAAATTTATACTAACCTGTATGTGTGTTTGATTTACTTTCTGTTCCTCATTTATTAGTTGTTTATTAGTAGGTAAATATAGTAAGGAATATGCTGTGTCTAAGTTTGGAGTGCTGACTTTTGTGGCACAGGGAATAAAAGTGATTTGGGAAGGTTTTCTTTTTATTTTTTCTTTTTGAGACGGACTTTTGCTCTCGTCGCCCAGGCTGGAGTGCAGTGGTGCAATATCAGCTCACTGCAGCCTCTGCCTCCTGGGATCCAGGGATTCTCCTGCCTCAGTCTCCCAAGTAGCTGGGTTTACAGGTGCCCACCACCACACCTGGCTAATTTTGTATTTTTAGTAGAGACGGGGTTTCTCCATGTTGGTCAGGCATGTGTCCAACTCCCAAACTCAGGTGATCCGCTTGCCTCAACCTGCCAAAGTGCTGTGATTACAGGCATGAGCCACTGGGAACGTTTTCTAGTTTGGGTAGAAAACTGGAAATAAGTAAACAATTTAGGCAAATAATAAATATAGTACTTTACAAAAATATTTGAAAAGTTCATCGTTCTTAGGTCCTTTCTTGCTTCCTTTGCAACTTTCTAACTCCATATTTTTGCCTTACCTTGGTTTTATCTACCAATCTAGAAGAATATCAAAGTTTAGGAAAATGGAGCATCTCATGAGCAGTATATTACTTTTCTTCTTACTCTAAAATATAGGTGTTGTTTTTTGTTGTTGTTGGGTTTATTTATTTGTTTATTTATTTTGGAGACAAGATTTTGCTCTGTTCCCGAGGCTGGCGTGCAGTGGTGCAACCATGCTGACTGTTGCCTCAACTTCCCAGGCTTACACAGTCCTCCCACTGCAGCCTCCTGAGTAGCTGGGACTACAAGTGTGCACCACCACACCTGGCTAGATTTCAAAATTTTTTTGTAGAGACAGGGTCTCATTGTGTTGCCAGGGCTTGTCTTGCACTCCTGGGCCCAAGCAGTCCTGTTTTTGGCCTCCCAAAGTGCTGGGATTACAATCATGAGCCACTGTGCCTGGCCAGGATTTTTTTTTAAAAGACGAGGTCTCACTATGCTGCCCAGGCTGGTTTCAAACTCCTGGTCTCAAGCAATCCTCCCTTCTCAGCCTCCCAAAGTGCTAGGATTACAGATGTGAGCCACCACATCCAGCCTAGCCAGGATTTTTAATTAAATTTTATTTTACTATCGTGGATTCCACTTATTGTTATTGATGCCATGGATGTTACAAAGGAAGATGATGCCCCTGGTTCATTTCATGCCGCTGTTAAGAAAATAAGTGGGCCAAGTGCGGTGGCTCATGCCTGTAATCCCAGCACTTTGGGAGGCCAAGGCGGGCAGATCACCTGAGGTCAGGAGTGTGAGACCAGCCTGACCAACATGGAGAAACCCCGTCTCTACTAAAAATACTAAATTAGCCAGGCATGGTGGCGGATGCCTGTAATCCCAGCTACTCGGAAGGCTGAGGCAGGAGAATTGCTTGAACCTGGGAGACAGAGGTTGTGGTGAGCCAAGATTGCGCCGTTGCAGTCCAGCCTGGGCAACAAGAGTGAAACTCCGTCTCAAAAAAAAAGAAAAGAAAAGAAAGAAAATAAGTGACCTATAATATAATGCAAAAGGCAGTGAAGTCCTAGCTGGGTGCAGTTGCTCATGCCTGTAATCTCAGGACTTTGAGAGGCTGAGGTGGGAGGATTGCTTGAGCTCAGGAGTTCGAGACCAGCCTGGTCAATACAGCAAGACCCTCATCTCTACAAAAAATAAATTAGGCTGGGCATGGTGGCTCACGCCTGTAATCTCAGCACTTTGGGAGGCCAAGGTGTGTGGATCAGCTGAGGTCGGGAGTTTGAGACCAGCCTGGCCAACATGGTAAAACCCCGTCTCTACTAAAAATACAAAAGTTAGCCAGAAGTGGTGGTACATGCCTGTAATCCCAACTACTTGGAAGGCTTAGGCAGGAGAATTGCTTGAACCTGGGAGGTGGAGTTTGCAGTGAGCTAGATGGCGCCACTGCACTCCAGCCTGAGTGAGAAGAGCCAGACTCCGTCTCAAAAAAAAGAAGATACAGAAATTAGCCAGGCAAGGAAGGTGGCCTGTGTGCCTGTGGTCCCAGCTACTCTAGAGGCTGCACTGGGTGGATTACTTGAACCTAGGAGCTAGAAGGTTGAGGCTGCAGTGAGCCATGATTGTCCCACTCACACTCAAGCCTGGGCAACAGAGCAAGACCCTGTCTCAAAAAAAAAAAAGACAACGAAGTCTTGCATTCCAATGACATGCCACTGTTCTGTTGCACTTTAATAAATGTATACAAAAGATATATTGATGCTGTATATTTTAACAATTCCAGGAAGACCAAGGGAATAGAATAATTAAAATTATTATCACCTAGAATTATCTTTACTCATGCCATAGCACTCCCACCAGCCCCCCCCCCCCCCCCCCCCGCCGCCACTCCCCTGGTAGGAAAATGTGAAGAAAGTAAGTATATCTGAAGAGTTGACTTTTTTTTTTTTTGAGACAGAGTCTTGCTCTGTGTATCCAAAGTCTTACTAAGTATATCCAAAGAGTTGGCTTTTTTGTTGAGGGGGCAGAGTCTTGCTCTGTCGCCCAGGCTGGAGTGCAGTGGTGTGATCCTGGCTCACTGCAACCTCCGCCTCCCCAGTTCAAATGATTCTCCTGCCTCAGCCTCTCGAGTAGCTGGGACTACAGACGCCCGCCACCACGCCCGGCTAATTTTTTGTATTTTTAGTAGAGATGGGGTTTCTCCATGTTAGCCAGGATGGTCTCGATCTCCTGACCTCGTGATCCGCCCGCCTCGGCCTCCCAAAGTGCTGGGATTACAGGTGTGAGCCACCACACCTGGCCTAAGAGTTGGCATCTTATTTGGAATATGTAACACTAGTCAGAATTTTGGTAAAGAATAATCTATTCCATTTCCACTCCAACTGGGTGTACTTCGGTTCCCAGTTCTGACACTAACCACCTAGAGTTAATGCAGACCCCACAAGTTAAGGGCTTAGTTCTTCAGATGCACTTCAGGGTTCTCCAGGCCTCTCATCCTTCTGACCAACTTGGCTAAAAATTTAGGAGTTCCTGAGAGCCCTGTGGGTCTGTAATTTGCTAGAATGACTCAGAACTCAGGAAACAGCTATATTTATGATTATAGGTTATTATAAAGTATACAACTCAGGAACAGCCCAACGAAGAGAAACATGAGGCAAGGTATGGGAATGAATGTGGAACTACCTGGCCTCTTCCTATGTACTCACGGAGCATCTCCTTCCCGACACATCAAGGTGTTCATCAACCAGAAAGCTCCACCAAAGTTTAGTGTCCAGAATTTCTACTGGAGTTTCATTAATAGGCATGATTGATTGAATCTTTGGCCATGTGATTGAACTCACTTTCCAGCTCCCTTTCCCTCTGGAGGTCAGAGGATCCAAAAGTTCCTTTCTGGTGGCCAGCCCTGATTCTGAAACTTTCAGGGGGCCCACAGGGAGTTGCTTGTTTAGCATAACAGATACTCATCACTTAAGAAAAACCAAGGGTTTTAGGAAGTTCATGCCAGGAACTGAGGTCAAAGACCAGACATACTCTTTTTTTTGTTTGTTTGGGTTTTTTTGTTTGTTTTTGTTTTTTTGAGACAGAGTCTCGCTCTGGCTAATTTTTGTGTATTTTTTGTAGAGACAGGGTTTCACCATGTTGGCCAGGCTGGTTTTGAACTCCTGACTTCAAGTGATCCACCCGCCTTGGCTTCTCAAAGTGCTGGGATTACAGGCGTGAGCCACCATGCCTGGCCCAGATATACTCTTTATTATTCCACATTGACATGCACTCTACAAGAAAAACACTAGTCAAGCAATTTAAATGTATACTACATATACTTACATGATTGTAATTGCACTAAAGTAGAAAATAATATGTAATGAAGACAACATTTCAGAAGTTAGTTTGCCTTTTACCATTTGTTTCATGATTAAAAACCAAAATTCTAAGAGGCAAGTGTTTTTACTTTGTTTTGGTTTTTTTATTCTTGTTTCTGACAAAGGTGTTAAGTGAATGAAAATATATAAACATGATTTAGACAATCTTTTCTCTCCCCTTCCCTCCCCACTCGTTTCCTTTCTTTTCTTAGACCGGGTCTCACTCTGTCACCCAGGCTGGAGTGCGGTGGTGTGATCCTGGCTCACTGCATCCTCTGCCTCCTAGGCTCAAGCAATCCTCCTGCCTCAGCGTCCCAAGTAGGTGGGACTACACAGGCACACACCACCACGCCCAGGTAAGTTCTGTACTTTTCATAGAGACAGGGTTTCCCCATGTCACCCAGGCTGGTTTGGAATTGCTGTACTGAAGCGATCCTCTCACCCTCTCACCTCGGTGTCACAAACTACTGGGATTACAGATGTGAGCCACCATGCCTTGTTGATTTAGACAAACTTTCAAAATTTGCTTATAAACAAATGTTTGTTCAAGTCTCTGGAGTTTGGGGGTTTTTTCCCCCATACTGGTAGGAAAATGTGAAGAAAGTAAGTAGGGGCATCAGGTATTGAGGGTGTCACCCCAGATACTCTACTCAAAAGCTGAGAAGTACAATTGGTTTCTCCCAGCGTAGCAGACAGTTTCTAAGGTGGCCCTCAGGATCCTCAAATTCTGATGTTCATATTTTTGTGTGATTCCCTTCCTTGAGTTAGGGCAGAACCCATGATTTGCTTTCTAACCAGTCATATGGCAAAGGTGATTGACTGTCATTCCCATGATGACATTATGTTATATGGCAAAAGTATGGCTTGTGTGGCTCACGCTTACTTTCCTGCTGGCCTTGAAGAAATAGCTGCCATGTTGTGAACTTCCTATGAAGACAGCCATGTGACAGGGAGCTGTGGATAGCCTCCAGGAGCAGAGGCTGGCTTCTGGCTGATGGACAGCAAAAAAAAGAAAAATTGAAGCTCATGGTCCCACAGCCACAAAAAAAATGAATTCTGCCTTCAACCTGAGTAAGCGTGGAAGTGAGTTCTTGTCTCTTCAAGCCTACAGATGAAAATGAAGCCCAGCTGACACCTTGATTGAAGCCAGATGAGATCCTGAAGCAGAAAACCCAAGTAGGCTGGGTTCTTGGAAGGTAATCCTCAAGGAAAAGGGAAGAAGATGGAGGAAACAAACTAGATGCAAGAGATTTGTTCTTAAAATTCTATTCTTTAAAGGTCTTAGTTATTAAAAGCTTCCAACTATTTAAATTATGCAGTAGCCTTTTTTTGAAGAGAATATTAACCTTAAGTTTTGTGGTTTTGTTTTGTTTTGTTTTGTTTTTTGAGACAGAGTCTTACTCTGTCACCCACACTGGAGAGCAACAGCACTATCATAGCTCACTGCCACCTCACTCTCCCAGGCTCAAGCTATCCTCCCACCTTAGCCTTCTGAGTAGCTGGGACTACAGGCACACACCACTGTGGACCACTGCACCCAACTGTTTATTATTTTTGTGTGATGTGGTCTCACTCTGTCACCCAGACCTGGAGTGCAGTAGCATGATCTTGGCTCACTGTAGCCTCTGCCAACTCAGTTCAAGCAATCCTCCCACCTCAGCCTCCTAAGTAGCTGAAACTACGGGCATGCACCACCATATATGGCTAGTTTTTTGTATTTATTGTAGAGATGGGATTTCACCATGTTGCCCAGGCTGGTCTTGAACTCCTGGGCTCAAGCGATCCACCCACCTTAGCCTCCCAAAGTGCGGGATTACAGGTGTGAGCCATGGCATCTGGCAAGTTCTGTTCTGAGTTAAATAGTGAACTACTTCTGGCTGGATGCGGTGGCTCACACCTGTAATCCCAGCACTTTGGGAGGCTGAAGAGGGTGGAGGGTGGATCACCTGAGGTCAGCAGTTTGGGACCTGCCTGGCCAACATGGTGAAACCCCATCTCTACCAAAAATACAAAACTCAGCTGGGCATGGTGGTGGACGCCTATAATCTCAGCTACTTGGGAGGCTGAGCCAGGAGAATTGCTTGAACCCAGGAGATGGAGGTTGCAGTGAGCCAAGATCGCTCCATTGCACTCCAACCTAGGCAACAAGAGCGAAAACTCTCAAAAAAAAGAATAGTGAACTACTTCTGCTTACTGACAAAGCTGTCAAAAGGAAAAGAAAGCATCAATTTACTTCCCCTCAGAATTGTATTTGGAGACTCAGATTAACCCCAAATTCTATTTTGTTTTCTCAGTTTTTGTTCTTGTGGTAAAATACACTAACAGAATTTACCATCTTAATAATTTTAACTCTATTGTTCAAAGGTAAGTACATCTATATTGTTGTGCAGCTGTATCACCACCGTCCATCTCCAGTTTTCATCTTGCAAAACTGAAACTCTATACCCATTAAACAATAGCCTTCCCCTTTTCCCGTCCCCCTAGTACTGGGCAACAGTGCTTCTACTTTCTGCCTCTATGAATCTGACTACTCTAGGTATCTTGTTTAAATTGAATCATACAATATTTGTCTTTTTGTGACTGACTTATTTCACTTGGCGTAATGTCCTCTGAGTTCATCCATGTTGTATCATGTGCCAGAAGTTCCTTCCTTTGTATGACTGAATATATTCCTATTGTGTGTTGTTTGTGATTGTTTGTATGTACTTTGCTTATCCATTCATCTGCCAATGGGCACTAAAAGCTTCCACCTTTTATGTATTTATTTATTACCTAGGAAGTGAGGAAGCTTCTGCCAAATTCTAAATTTTATGGAGGAAAACAAAGCATGGCTGATTAGATAACTAGTGTTTACTTTAGATAGAGTATTAATTTTAGGTCTACTTTATGGCATATAGAATTTCCTTAAAATCAGTATTTGTATTATATTTATGCCTATTTTATAGGGTTGGGATAATTTACTTTTTTAAGTTACTTCATTTTATTTTATTTATTTTATTTTGAGACGGAATCTTGCTCTGTCACCCAGGCTAGAGTGCAGTGGTGCAGTCTCGGCTCACTGCAACCTCTGCCTCCCAGGTTCGAGTGATTTTCCTGTCTCAGCCTCCTGAGTATCTGGGATCACAGATATGTGCCACCACACCCAGCTAGTTTTTGTATTTTTAGTAGAGATGGGGTTTTGGCATATTGGCCAAGCTGGTCTTGAACTCCTGACCTCAAGTGATCCGCCTGCCTCAGCCTCGTAAAGTGTTGAGATTACAAGCATAAGCCACAACGTCTGGCCTGTAATTTTAATGTAGTGATTTATAGTTGTATGTTTACATTTATAACAGTGTTATATTTGTGTCATACCTATGATTTATTTGATTTTCTAACCCAGGGGTCAGTAAGCTATGGCCTATTGGTCAACCTGCCTGTTTTTCTATGTCTTTCAAGTTAAGAATAGTTTTTACAGGTGAACATTTGTACCCAATTTCATTATGGGGTACTAACTTTGAATCTCAACTAAGCAAACTCCCAAGAAGAAAAAGTTCATTCTTCTCATTAATTATACGTTACAAAAATGTATACTCAGTTATTTTTATGACATTTTGAATTTCCTCAGTGAAAAAAATGTGACTTTTGTTATCTGAAATACCTACATAATATCCTTAACTTTGCCTCTTGTCCTGCAAGGCCTATCATATATACTCTTCGGCCCTTTGTGGAAAACCTTTGCAGGGTCTCTCCTGTAGTCTTCTTATAGCATTCTTTTCAGATACTATTTGAAAACATATTAAAATGGAAACTAAAACTTTTTGTTTATATCATCTATTTATTGTTTTTCCATGAGGAATTCTACTAGGTATCCTACCAGTCATTGGATATACTTAGTATAAGTTGTTTTTAAAATATCCTTCAGCCAGGCGCAGTGGCTCACACCTGTAATCCCAGCACTTTGGAAGACTGAGGCTGGCGGATCACAAGGTCAGGAGATTGAGACCATCCTGCCTAACACGGTGAAATCCCGTCTCTACTAAAAATACAAAAAATTAACCACATGTGGTGGCGGGCACCTGTGGTCCCAGCTGCTTGGGAGGCTGAGGCAGGAGAATGGTGTGAATCTGGGAGGCAGAGCTAGAAGTGAGCCAAGATCGTGCCACTGCACTCCAGCCTGGCAATAGAGTGAGACTCCATCTCAAAGAAAAAAAAATTAAAATTAAAATAAATAAATAATAAAATAGCCTTTAGTTTTTGTGCACCTTAAAGTCAATATTTTCTCCCAATTAGGTATATTATTAAGGCTGTTTTGGAAAAATGTTATTCAGATATAATCAGAAATCTGTTTTAAAAATGAAAATAAAATCTATTTTAAAGACAGTTATAAAAATATTTAGGATAGTACAGATTGAAAAGCTTAATCCTGTAAAGGTAGTAACATGCATAGAACTTTATGATTTTTCACCTTGGGTTTCTGATAGGCTTAACTTTGAAGACATTGGAGGAGTGGCATAGTATAGTAGAAAGATGCATATTGCATTACAAATGAATAAGTCTGCTCAATGTTTGATGTATTCATTTGCAATTCTAATACAAAACTTGCAGGACAGAAGAAACATTTAGAATAAATTTTTTTTATGAATTAGTAATAAACATCTAGGTAGAAAATACAAAGAAAAGGAATCTTATAGTAGTTATCACAAATACTAAATAATTTATTAGTAGCAGAATGTGTGTAGTAAAGATACTTAAGGGATAGCATAAACATTAGTGGAGAAAATAAGCAAAACTGGATTAATGAATAAATAGGTATATCGCTTGATGAGAAGACTAAAAATCACAGTGCTATCGAGTTAATATATAGATTGAACACTATTACATTTTTATTTTTTAAGTCGTGACATAAATTGAATATATATGGAAAACTCATTGTAGAATTTTAAACATGAAAACAACAGTTGTAGTTAATAAGAGCTATTTGAAAGAAATTTAAAACAATATAGATTTTAGAACTTAATCCAAGTTTATAAAAGATTCCTAGTTTTTTTTATTTTTGAAAATTTTTGTGGGTACATAGTAGGTGTATGGATTTATAGATTTCTAGGTTTAAAAAATAGGAATTAGAAAACAGTAGAAAGAAAATGTTCCTGGAAAAATCATTAGTAAAGAGAAGAAAAATACTCCATTTTACAATGACCTCCAATGAGAAAAAGGAATTTCATATTTTAAAGAACTGAATTTGAATACTTTTACAGTGTATTGAGTTCTACTGGATGTGTGGTTGATTATATAAACATTTAAGCATATAGAATACATGTAAATATAATTTGTTAAGTTAATGGAATGGTAGAAGCTTTTTGCTGTAAATCTGATAAGGACTTAAAATCCTGATTCTATACTAGGTGTAGCACTTAAATTTTCAAAGAGCTGTTCAAGTGCCTTCTATAAACTAATTTAAATTGCATACCAATTATTTCAGGTAAGTATTATCATTACTTCCATTTTACAGATGAATTACAGAAAGGCTAAGTGACTTGTTAAAAGTCTTATAATAAGAATTTGACCCAATTTGGCTCTAGAGTCTGTTCTCTTAGCCACAGTGATATATCACATGTTAAATACAGATGCTCCTCAGCTTATGATATGGTTACATCCTGATAAACCCCTTTGTAAATAGAAAATATTGTTAAGTTGAAAATGCACTGAACACTCCGATGGACCTACTGTAAAGCTGAAAAATTGTAAGTTGAACCACTGTAAGTCTAAATGTTCCTCAGTTTATGATGAGGTTACGTTGTATAAATTCATCATAAAGTTGAAACATCAACTTTATGGTAAGTATGTAAGTCAAACTGTTTATTCAAAGTAAATGTAAAATAGTTAAATGTGAACAACCTACAGAATCAATAAAAAAAAACAAATATTTATCATAATAATAAATATAAATTATCTAAATTTACCTGTTAAGAGAAAAATATGAGGTGGATCTATATACCCTGAATTTGAAAGAGCTTTGCGGATGTTTATAAACAAAAGGAGGAATAGCCTGAAAAAAATAATTAGTAGTTACTCTCTTCCATGTTTAAAAAACATCGAAAAGGCCGGGTGCAGTGGCTCACACCTGTAATCCCAGCACTTTGGGAGGCCGAGGCGGGCGGATCACGAGGTCAAGAGATCAAGACCATCCTGGCTAACATGGTGAAACCCCATCTCTACTAAAAATACAAAAATTTAGCCGGGCATGGTTGCAGGCGCCTGTAGTCCCAGCTACTCGGGAGGCTGAGGCAGGAGAATGGCATGAACCTGGGAGGCAGAGCTGGCAGTGAGCCGAGATCATGCCACTGCACTCCAGCCCAGGCGACAGAGTGAGACTCCGTCTCAAAAAAAGAAGAAAAGATACAAAACACCATAAAACGTGTATGTGTATAAGTGGATAGAACATGGTATTAAAATATTAACAATGGCAACCAGGTGCAGTGGCTCACACCTGTAATCCTAGCACTTTGAAAGGCTGAGGCGGGTGGATCATTTGAGGTCGGGAGTTCGAAACCAGCCTGGCCAACATGACAAAACCCTGGCTCTACTAAAGTACAAAAATTAGCTGGGTGTGCTTTTGCGTGCCTGTAATCCCAGCTACTTAGGAGGCTGAGACGGGAGAATCACTTGAGCCAAGGAGGCAGAGGTTGCATTGAGCCAAGATTGTGCCACTGCACTCCAGCCTGGGTGACAGAGTGAGACTCCCATCTCAAAAAAAAAGGCCAATGGGAGGAGACGAAGAAGTGATGAAGAGAAGCTTCTCCACTTTACTCTGTATAAAATTTTTATATTGTCTTAATTCTGCCCAAAATGTGTTACATTACTTTTGTAATTTTTTAAAAAGTATGTGCAGTGGCTTGAATGTGTCCCCCATAGTTCACGTGTTGGAAACATAATCCCCAATACAATAGTGTTGGGAGGTGGGTCCTAATAAGAGATGATTAGGTTATGAGGGCTTTATCCTCATGGATGGATTAATATTATTATTTTGGAAGTGAATTAGTTATCTGGAGAGTGGGCTTACTATAAAAGAGTTCAATTCTCTGTTGCTCTCTTATGTGATACTTCCCCCATGTTATGATGCAGCAAGGTCCTCACCAAATGTTTACCCCTCAGCCTTGGACTTCCAGCCTGCAGAATTTTAAGAAATAAATTTCTCTTCTTTACAAATTACCCAGCTGGTGTTACTCTGTTATAGCAACACAAAACAGAGCAAGACAGTATGTGTAGGTAAATAAGTAACATCAACAAGAAAAAGATCAGAAAGAGTAGAATCCAAACTGTTAGCACTAGATATGCCTGAAAAGTAAAATTAAAAGTGATAGGAAGGGGGCCAGGTACAGTGGCTCACATTTGTAATCCCAGCACTTTGAGAGGCCAAGGCAGACGGATCACCTGAGCTCAGGAGTTCAAGACCAGCCTGGCGAACATGGTGAAACCCCGTCTCTACTGAAAATACAAAAATTAGCTGGGGATGGTGATGGGTGCCTGTAGTCCCAGCCACTCAGGAGGCTGAGACAGGAGAATTGCCTGAACCCAAGGGGCGGAGGTTGCAGTGAGCTTGGGATCCCGCCACTGTACTCCAGCCTGGGCAACAGCGAGACTCCCTCTCAAAAAAAAAAAAAAAAGTGATTGGAAGGGGATTATTTTCCCCATTTTTACTATACATACCTTCATATTGGTGAATTTAAGAATTTTACAGTGAGCGTTCTTTAATTTAAAAAGAGTATGTAATTATTTTTTCTTTCCTTTCCCTTATATTAATTATCTCTACCTGTGCTTTACCCACTGAGTAGGTAATTTTCAACACATTCACTAGAACATAGTAACGGGTAGATTTCAAGAGGTGTATGATTTTAATGAGATTTGCAATTTAAAGACTTGAGTGCTCCTTGTCATGTAGCTATTGGCTTAAATACATACAGTCTCTAACTTATGATGGTTTGGCTTATGATTGTTTTGACTTTGACCATAAGTTTGTCAGAGTATTAAATGTATATTCCACATACAATTTTTTTTTACTTATGATGGGTTTATTGGGATGCAATCCCATTGTAGGTTGAGGAGCATCTGTATTGCCTTTTTGGTACCTCTTCAAAGATTTTTTTAAATTACCAGAAGAGCCCTTTAGTTGTTACCACATTGCCTTGTTTCATTTTAATCATAGTGTTATTATCTTCTACTCTTACTTATTTTGATAGTTAGATAGATTTTTTTAAATTTTTAATTATTTTCCCTTCACTAAAATCTAAGATCAATGAGAACAAGACCATTCCTTTGTCATTTTTGTGGCACAGGGCCTAAAATAATGATTGGAATATAATAAGCAGTTAATAAATATTTGTTGAATGAAAAAAATCATACATAATCTTACAAGTTCAGGAACTTATTAACCCACCCAGGGATGGTTCATCTATGGTGAACTGCACTTAACACTGGATGAATGATAATTTATAGGACTCTAGTAATTAATACCAGTTTATTTATGTATAGTGGTAGACATAAATAGTATAATAACAAAACTGTGTATGCAATACATTTTTTCAAACATTGTTATGTCTAAACCACACATTTATCAAAGAGTCATTGAAGAGCACATGGAAACTGGGAAAAAGAGAGATGGGTGCTTTTAAAAACACTTAATCCTATACTCTGGCTATAGGTTGTCTTGTCTAACAAGTACATTAGCTAGTAAATGTTTCTTCTTGGTACTGAGAATTATAAGAGGCAGTATGAATGACTTGGTTTTGCTGGTCCAACCATTAAAATAACTTAAATGCCAGCCCAATTGATGGTGAGTTACATTCTATACCTAGGCAAACAGAGGATATTAAGTTGGTCTTGCAGGTTATTAAAAAATGAAAAAGTAAAAATAGAAGATAAAACGGATGGTTTCAAAAAAATCTGAAGCAATGGATAAGTACTTCTTAAAGCTCATTGATGGAAATGCAGATTTCCTAAGATCTGAGAAAAAATAATTGAAAAAGGAAATGCAGATTTTCATTTTTCATTTATCTAAGTAGAGTAAACCCTGAATCTGTGTCAGGTTTCACCCACAAATCAAAATCTTACCATTCAGTTTGACAAGATGGAGGTAGATACTTAAAAATCTTTGGAAATATTTGAGAAGATAGATAAATGGTATGCAAGTAGTAGCAGTGATGATTATTTTTCATTCACTGTAATATAGTAGACGAGGGTGTAGTGTCGTAGTTAGATGTTGAGCTGTGTGCCTGGGATTGAATCTTAGCTATGTTTTCCACCAGTTGTGTGACCTTGAGTAAATTATCTGTGCCTCAGTTTTCTTGTCTGTATAATTGGGATAATAAATCCTTCCTCAAAATTGTTGGTAGGTTTAATGAGAACCTGTGCATGTGTTTGTAGTTCTTAAAATAGTGGTGCCTGGCAGATAATACACTATCACATATTCCCCTACTATTTTTTTCCAGCAAATAGAGGGTACTTATTTCAGCAACTGTACTGAGGATGGGAAGATCCTGCCCTAGAGGAATTCACAGCTTAGTGAAGTTCAAGGGTATACATCTTCTCTCTTTTCAGCCCAGCTCTTTTTTTCCCCAAAATCTTGTATTTTGTTTCCAAAGGAATTAATTCAGGAATTTAGTCTGAATCTTTAATTTTACATGATAGTCAAAGAAATGGTTAGAGAATTGACCTGCTGCCTTGAAAAAAATAAAACATTTTAAAAGCATTTTAATTTTGTTTTATAGATGCTTGTTTGCTACTGATGGGTGTGAGCAAGTTAGATATTCTATACCGGAGACTTCTCCTAACAAAACTTTTTATCAGAGGATGGGGAAGGCCAGAAGATCTCAAAAGGCAAGCAATTTTTTTTCCTGAATACTTGTTCTGAATTTGTTGTTTTAATGAACATTTAAAACTTTGTTATAAAATCCCTTACTCTCAAATACAGAGCAATTGTCCAGCAAATTAGACATTAAACTATGTAAAATGTAATTATTTCCTTTTTACTTTTGTCTTTTTAGTTATTTCTCTTAAGTTTTAGCCCATATCATAAATTGTACTATTTTAAAAATAATTCAGATTTTTTAAATAGAGAGCTCTCAGAAACACAGGGTAGATTTTTTACTTCAATAATTATTAAGCTAATAAGAATTGTATGTAGTTTTCAAGGATTGAGTCTTCTTGGGTAACCCGAATTTGTAATGACTTTAAAACTGAAATACACTGTAGCTCATAGGAAAATCTGGACTTAAGAAAATGAATTTTCGGCCAGGATTGGTGACTCACTCCTGTAATCCCAGCACTTTGGGAGACTGAGGTGGGCGGATCACGAAGTCAGAAGTTCCAGACTGACCTGGCCAACATGGTAAAACCGTCTCTACTAAAAATAAAAAAATTGGCCAGGCGCGCTGGCTCACTCTGTAATTCCAGCACTTTGGGAGGCCGAGGCAGGCGGATCACGATGTCAGGAGTTGGAGAACAGCCTGGCTAATGTAGTGAAATCCCATCTCTACTAAAAATACAAAAAATTAGACGGGCATGGTGGCGGACACCTGTAATCTTAGCTACTCCAGAGGCTGAGGCAGGAGAATCGCTTGAACCCGGGTGGTGGAGGTTGCAGCGAACCAAGATAGCGCTACTGCACACCAGCCAGGGCGACAGTGTGAGACTCTTGTCTCAAAAAAATAAATACAAAAATTAGCCAGGTGTGGTGGCGTATGCCTGTAATCCCAGCTACTCGGGAGGCTGAGGCAGGATTGCTTGAACCCGGGAGGCAGAGGTTGCGGTGAGGTGAGAGCGGTGAGGTGAGATCGCGCCACTGCACTCTAGCCTGGGTGACAAAGCAAGACTCCGTCTCGGAAAAAAAAAAAAAAGAAAATGAATTTTCAGGATTGGTGCCTTTAATTTTGAGTCTTATATGTATTAATTACTTTCTGAACAATATTATTTCTCACATTTTTCTGAAAAAAGTGTTCAGTTTGGGAAAAAACAGCCTAATCTCTTTCTTTAATGATCAAAATTAAATTTTAATATGGCTTATGAACTGGATTTGCTAATTTTTAATTACTGTTAATCAGTCTCAATTATAATATGCCTAGTAGGTGATATAAAAGATGAATTTTTTCCTTTTTGTCTTCTTTCCCATAATAGACTCTTTGAATTCAGAAAGATGATTGGAAATCGAGAAAGATGCCAGAATCTGGTTTCAAGCGATTATCCAGTACACATTGATAAGGTATTCAAATGAGAGAAAAACAGAAAAACAGAAAAAAAGAATAGATTACATATTGGAGTATAACAACAATAAATACTAAAATATGAGTGCAGTATGGATTTTTCATTTCATATTTAAAGAATACTATTTGTGGGCCGGGCGCAGTGGCTCACGCCTGTAATCCCAGCACTTGGGAGGCGGAGGCAGGTGGATCACCTGAGGTTGGGAGTTCCAGACCAGCCTGACCAACGTGGAGAAACCCCGTCTCTACTTTAAAAAAATACAAATTAGCCGGGCATGGTGGCGCATGCCTATAATCCCAGCTACTCAGGAGGCTGAGGCAGGAGAATCACTTGAACCCAGGAGGTGGAGGTTGCAGTGAGCCAAGATCATGCCATCGCACTCCAGCCTGGACGACAAGAGTGAAACTCCGTCTCAAAAATAAACAAACAAATAATACTATCTGTGCACTAACTGAATGTTGTTAATAACTACGTTCATGTATATTGGGAGCATATGGGAGCATATGTTTATTACTTGCCTAATGTATAAAGAAGTATTTAGGCTGGATATTTCTGGATCTCATTCTCTGTCTTTAGGCTCAGGAGGGTTAAACTACTCAACGTTACAGAAGAGTAGTGAGTATTAAAGGGGAGTAATCTAGTTGGAGAATCAGCACATAAGAAATTATTAGCAAACAACTGTTAAATAACACCAGGAAAAATATTATGGGATACAGTTAATTCCTGAGAGAATGGTAGAAAGAAAAAGCTATAAAATTAGAGAAGACAAGGATGTTTTTGAAATCTTTTTTTTAAAGGAGGCACCTGGTTTTCTGTAAAATATTTCTAGGTTTATGTAATTGCATACTTTGATGTATTGTTGGAGAAGGGATACAAATAGGCAAGCTTCACACATCCCTCACTCCCCTTCAACCAAAGTAACTGTACTTACATCTCATATGTTTTGGATATCTTTAGATTTCTCTTTTCAAAAGAGTTCGACTGCTAAGAACAAAATTTTATAGATTGAAAACCCCTCCTCTACATCATAGAAGTTCTTTCTGTATCTTCTGAATTAATAACATTTCTCTCTGTACCCTCAAATTTTGCCAAATATTTTTATCCTCTATATTTTTTATATTAAAAAATTATAAACTTAAAAAAATTTAAAATGTGACAAGTTAAAAAAAAAATCTCCTTTAATCTCTGCCACTTTCCACTACCTAATTCCATTTCCCTCCCAAGAGTGAATTGCTGTTAAGATTTTGGAATGCATTCTTACTGATCCACTAGGCTTAGTTTTTAAAAACTGAGACAAGGATATCCCAGCACTTTGGGAGGCCGAGGCGAGAGGATCGTGAGGTGAAGAGATCGAGACCACACTGGCCAACATGGTGAAACCCCATCTCTACTAAAAGAAAAATACAAAAATTAGCTGGGCATGGTGGCGCGCACTTGTAGTTCCAGCTACTCGGGAAGCTGAGGCAGGAGAATCGCTTGAACCCAGGATACGGAGGTTGCAGTGAGCCGAGATTATGCCACAGCACTCCAGCCCGGCGACAGAGCGAGACTCCATCTCAAAGAAAAAAAAAGCAATGGAGATAAAATTCACCCTTTTACAATATACAATTGAATGGTTTTTAAATTATATTACCAAGATGTGCAGCCATCAACATTGTCACTAATTCTAGAATATTTTCATTGTCCTAGAAAGAAACCCTGTATCCATTAGCTGTCACTTTCCCTTGCCTCTTCCCCCACCTGCTGGCAATCACTAGTGTACCCTCTGTCTCTATGGGTTCTCCTACTGTGGACATTTCTTATAAATGGAATCATGCAATATGTAGCTTTTTTTATCTGGCTTCTTCACTTAGCATAATGTTTTCAAGGTTCATCCATGTTGTAGCATGTGTCAGTACTTCTTTTTAGTTTTGTTTTTTTTATTACAGCATCAGAACAAGGAGAACTTAATCCTTTTGTATAGCTAAATAATAATCTATTGTATTGTATACCACAGTTTGCTTATCCATTCATAAATTAATGGACATTTGGGTTGTTTTCACTTTTTGGCTATTATAAATAGTGCTGCTATGAATACTCAAGTATGAGTTTTTGTGTGAATGTGTGTTTTTAGTTCTCTTGTGTATACTGAAGAGTTTAATTATTGGGTCATATGATGATAACTCTTAAGTTTTTGACGAACTATCAAACTGTTTTCCAAAGTGACTATACTATTTTATATTCCCACCAGCAGTGAATAAACATTCTGATTTTGCCATATGCACCAACTTTGTACTTGTCCAAGTCATCATAGTGGGTATAAAAGTATTTCCTTGTGGTTTTGACCACGCCCTAATGGCTGTGAGGCTGAACATCTTTTCAAGTGTGAATTGGCCATTTGTATACCTTCTTTGGAGAACTGTCTTTTCAAACCTTTGCTCCTTTTTACATTGAGTTCTCCATCTTTTTATTGTTGGGTTGTATCTTGCTTAATTTTAAAATCCATGTTATGTATAATATGTGTAATTCTGAAATTGTCTTTTCTTACCAAGTTGCCAGCTATCAGAACACTAATTTGTTGCACTATTTTTCCCTTTAACATTAGTTTGTTCTGCTTCCTTTATTAATAATTAATAATGGGCTGGGCGCGGTGGCTCCATCTCAGCACTTCTGGAGGCTGAGGTGGTGGATCATTTGAGGTCAGGAGTTCAAGACCAGGCTGGCCAACATGGTGAAACCCTGTCTCTACTAAAAATACAAAACTTAGCTGGGCATGGTGGTGCATGCCTCTAATCCCAGCTACTTGGGAGGCGGAGGCAGCAGAATTGCTTGAGCCTAGGAGGCAGAGGTTGCAGTGAACTGAGATCATGCCTCTGTACTCAAGTCTGGGCAATAGAGTGAGACCCTGTCTAAAAAAAAAAAAAAAATTAATAATGTATTAGTTTGTGCTGCTGCTTTATCAAATAACTTATTCTCGTAAAATACATAAAAGGGTTGAGTGCAATGGCTTATGCCTATAATCCCAGCACTTGGGGAGGCCGAGGAGTGTGGATCACTTGAGGTCAGAAGTTCGAGACCAGTCTGGCCAACATGGCAAAACCCCATCTCTACTAAAAATACAAAAAAATTAGCCAGGCATGCTGGTACATGCCTGTAGTCCCAGCTACTCAGGAGGCTGAAGCAGGAGAATTACTTGAATCTGGGAGGCAGAGGTTGCAGGGAGCCAAGATAGCACTCACTGCACTCCAGCCTGGGTGACAGAGCAAGACTCAAAAAATAAAAATAAATAAATAAAAATGAATACATAAGAAGAACACTTTAAAACTATACCAATAGGCATAAAAAACTAAATTGGAAAGTTTTTTGGATTAAAAATTCAGTTTTATAGAGATATTATGTCTCCTTAAGCATTTTTTAAAATGTAATACAATTTCAATTAAAGTATTGAACATAGAACCTACATCCATAAAAGCATCCTAAAATTATTTTGAGAAAATGCATGAGAATAAAATCAGATCGGGAATACTCTGGAAAGGAAGAGTTGTAAACAAAGACTAGTTCAGTCATATAACAATGAGTATTAAAATGCTACTGTTATAAACACAGCATGATATGGGTGCAGAAATAAAAGGTAGGCAAATAAGACCTAATGAAGGATTGAAAATAACTGGCAGAAATATATGGATGTTTAGTACATAGTAATAGTAGTGTTTTAAGTCAGTTGCAAAAATATGTGGGTCATTTAATAGATGACATTTGTCTAGCTGATTTCAAAAAAAATTTTTTTTTTTTTGAGACGGAGTCTTGGTCTGTCACCCAGGCTGGAGTGCAGTGGCCGGATCTCAGCTCACTGCAAGCTCCGCCTCCGGGGTTCACGCCATTATCCTGCCTCAGCCTCCCGAGTAGCTGGGACTACAGGCGCCCGCCACCTCGCCCGGCTAGTTTTTTGTATTTTTTAGTAGAGACGGGGTTTCACTGGGTTAGCCAGGATGGTCTCTATCTCCTGACCTCGTGATCCGCCGGTCTCGGCCTCCCAAAGTACTGGGATTACAGGCTTGAGCCACCGCGCCCGGCCAAAAATTTTTTTTTTTTTGTAAACAAAACAAAATGTTGTTTTGTTTTGAGACAAGGTCTCACTCTGTCACCCAGCTGCACTGCAGTGGTGCAGTCATGGCTCACTGCAGCCATGACCTCCTGGACTCCAGTGATCCTCCCACCTCAGCCTCCCACGTAGCTGGGACCACAGCCACATGCCACCACGTTCAGCTAATTTTTGTATTTTTTTGTAGACACAGAGTTTTTGCCATATTGCTCAGGCTGATCTTGAATTCCTGGGCTCGAGAGATCTGCCCACCTCGGCCTCCCAGAGTACTGGGATTACAGGTGTGAGTCACTGCACCTGACCTAGAATTTGTTTTTTAAAAAACTAGCTTGTCCCGGGTGCAGTGGCTCACACTTGTAATCCTAGCACTTTGGGAGTCCGAGATGGGTGGATCATGTGAGCTCAGGAGTTTGAGACCAGCCTGGTAGTTTTTAATATGGTGAAACCCCGTCTCTACTAAAAATAAAAAAAATTAGCCAGGCATAGTGATGTGCGCCTGTAATCCCAACTACTCGAGAGGCTGAAGCAGGAGAATCGCTTGAACCCGGGGGGCGGAGGTTGCAGTGAGCCAAGATCGCGCCAGCACACTCCAGCCTGGACAACAAAGTAAGATTCTGTTTCAAAACAAAAAAAGCTAGCTTGTAATCCTAGCACTTTGGGAGGCCAAGTCGGGCAGATTGCTTAAGTCCAGGAGTTTGAGACCATCCTGGGCGACATGGCAAAACCCTGTCTTTACCAAAAAAATGTAAAAATTAGCTGGGTGTGGTGGTATGCCTGTAGTCCCAGCTACTCTGGAGGCTGAAGTGGGAGGATTGCTTGAACCCTGGGAGGTGAAGCATACAGTGAGCCAGGATGGCAGCACTGTACTCCAGCCTGGGTGACAGAGTGAGACCCCATTTCCCCAAAAATTAACTAATTAGTTAATTAATTTTTTAAAAAGTTAGATATATACATCATCCACAGATACGTTTTTATTTCTGATTTGAATGAAAATATGTGGTAATTCAATGCTACTTTAATTTTTTTACTATTGACCTGAAATTTTTAAGAAATAATTAGGCCAGACACAATGGCTCATGCCTTAATACCCAACACTTTGGGAGGCTTGAGGCTGGGCGTTCCAGACTAGCCTGAGCAACATAGTGAGATCCTGTCTCTACAAAAAGAAAATGCTTATTGGAGGGGAAAATAAGTTTAGGTGTTGAATGTTAGCAAATGCTTTTTTTATATATATAGAAATTACGTTTTTTTCTTATTTACTATGTTGACATGACTCTACATCAGATTGCCTGACACTGAACCATTGTAATATATTTGATGTCAACCCTTATTTGATTATGGTAACTTATTTTTGAAATTTCTAAACAATTATTTTTATACTGTTGAATGTTGTTGAATTCTCTTAACTAGTAGTTTATTTTGAGTTATTGCATGTCAGTGTATGAATGTGATTTATTTATAGTTTATTTTCTCAACTAGATTATAGTAAAGGACATGGAAGGAAAAGAAATGTGTATAGGCAGGAACCATGTCTTTAAAAACCATAGTGGTCCACAGAATCGGAGAAAATGTTTACAAACTACTCATCTGACAGGGAATTAAGAACCAGAATATAAGGAGCTCAAATAAATTAATAGGGAAAAATCATAATCTGATTTTAAAATGGGTAAAAGATCTGAATAGACATTTTACATTTTTCTTTTGTTTTTTTGAGACGGAGTCTTGCTGTGTTGCCAGGCTGGAGTGTAGTGGCTCGACGTTGGCTCACTGCAACCTCTGCCTCCTGGGTTCAAGTGATTCTCCTGCCTCAGCCTCCTGAGTAGCTGGAACTATAGGCGCACACCATCACGTCTGGCTAATTTTTTGAATTTTAGTAGAGACAGGGTTTCACCATGTTGGTAAGGCTGGTCTCGAACTCCTGACCTCAGGTGATCCGCCTGCCTTGGCCTCCCAAAGTGCTGGGATTACAGGCGTGAGCCACTGCGCCTGGCCGACATTTCACATTTTTCAAAAGAAGACATACACATGGCCAACCATGTATATGAAAAAATGCTCAGCATCATTAATCATCAGAGAAATGCAAATCAAAATTACAGTGATATATCATTTACCCTAGTTAAAATGGCTTTTATTCAAAAGACAGGCAATAATAAAAGCTGGTGAGGATGTAGAGAAAGAGGAAGAGGAAACTTCGTTCACTGTTGATGGGAATGTAAGTTAGTATGACCACTGTGGAGAACAGTATGGAACTTCCTCAAAAGCTAAAACTGGAACAACCATATGACCCAGCAATCCCCCCACTGGGTATATATGAAAAAGAGAGGAAATCACTGTATCAAAGAGATATGAGCACTTCCATGTTTATTGTAGCACTGTTCATAGTAGCCAAGATGCAGAATCAACGTAAGTGTTCACCAGCAGATGAATGGATAAAGAAAATGTACAAATATGCAGTGAAACATTATTCAATCATAAGCAAGAATGAAATCTTGTCATTTGCAACAGCATGGATGGAACTGAAGGACATTGTGTTAAGTAAATTAAACCAGTCACAGAAGGACAAATTTCATGTGTTTTCACTCATACATGGGAGCTAAATATTTTTGAAAATTGAACTCATGGAGATGAAGAGTAGATTGATGATTATCAGAGGTTAAGAAAAGTAGCAGGGAGGGGAAGATAGAATGGAGATGATTAACGGGTGCAAATGTACAGTTAGAATCAATAAGATCTAGTATTTGATAGCATAATAGAGTCACTATAATTAACAATAATTTATTGTATATTTTGAAATAAGAGTGAAATTGGAATGTTCCTAACACAAGGAAATGATAGGTGCTTCAGATGATGGATACCCCAATTGCCCTGATTTGATCATTACAACTTGTATGCTGGTATCAAAACATCACATGTACCCTATAATACACTCAATGATTATGCACATAGAATAATTAATAATAAAGTACAGTGGCACAAAAAGTTTACATGGTAGGTGCTGAAAACATGATTTTAATTGAATAGAACTTTTTATTAGAAGAACATCCATGATAGACCAAGATATCTTAGTTTTCTTGCATACATCTTGGTTTTGATTTTCTTTTAGATTGAAGAGCAATCAGATTGTAAGATCTTAGATGGACACTTTGTTTCCCCTATGGCTCACTATGTGCCTGATATCATGCCAATTGAATCTGTTATTGCAAGGTAAGAATTTTTTGTTCAAAAAGATGAATTAATATGTTATTTATGTTCATTAAAATTATAATGTCAACACTATGTTATTTGAAATTAGGAGTAACAAGGCAGGCCTAAATTGTTGAAAAGGCTGAATTAGAAGATATTTTAATTCAAGGATATTCATCGAAGCATTGTTTATAGTTGCAAAAAATAGACAATGCCTAAATGTTCAACAGTAGGTGATTAATTATCCATACTGTGGATACCATTAGTGACATGGAAATATGGTCACAATGTGTGAAAGTTTAAGAAGATAATACAAAGGATTTTTTAGTTCCATTTTTGTAAATACATAAGTGTGCACACATAATCACACAGAAGTTTCCAAAGGATATATATGAATATACAAACTCTGCTTATCTCTCAGTGGAGAGATTTTTGGCTTTTAAATTTTTAGTTTCAGGTCAGGCATGGTGGCTTATGCCTGTAGTCCCAGCACTTTGGGAGGCCAAGGCAGTTGGATCACTTGAGTTCAGGAGTTCTAGACCAGCCTTGCCAACATGGCGAAACCCCATCTCTACTAAAAATACAAAAAATTAGCCAGGTGTGGTGGCAGACACCTGTAATCCCAGCTACCTGGGAGGCTGAGGCAGGAGAATTGATTGAACCCAGGAGACGGAGGTTGCAATGAGCCAAGATTGTGCCACTGCACTCCAGCCTGGGCCACAGAGTGAGACTCTCTCTCAAAAAAAAAAAAAAATACCATGTACATGTGTTGATTTTATAACAGGAAGAAGAAGTACTTTTAAGTGAAGAAACTAAAAAACATGTGGTAACTTAGACTAGACAGACTACATAGTTCAGCTAAGTAAAGCACCTCAGGACTGGTATGTAATTAGCATGTCAGTTTGAGAATGTAAATAGATATTCTGAAATACCTGAGGTTCCTAAGTGGTTAATTATCCAATAGTTGAAAACTGGCTTTTTGGATCTTTGTTAGAGTACAGAGGTTATTCTTAGCTCAGTCTTGTTAGTGGTTTTTTTGTTTGTTTGTTGAGACAGAGTCTTCCTCTGTTTCGCAGGCTGGATGGAGTGCAGTGCTGCCCACTGTACGCTCTGCCTTTCAGGTTCAAGCAATTTTCATGTCTCAGCTGCCTGAGTAGCTGGGATTATGAGCGTGTGCCACCATACCCGGCTAATTTTTTTATTTTTAGTACAGATGGGCTTTTGCCATGTCGGCCAGGCTGTTCTCAACCTCCTGGTCTCAAGGGATCCACCTGCCTCGCCTCCCAAAGTGCTGAGATTACAGGTATGAGCCACCACGCTCAGCCACTGTTAATGGTTTGTGTTTTGTTTTGTTTTGGGGATGGAATCTCACTCTGTCTCCCAGGCTAGAGAGAGAGTCTCCAGAGTCTCGCTCTTTTGCCCAGGCTAGATGGAGAGCAGTGGTGCTCACTGCAGCCTCCGCCTCCTGGGTTCAAGTGATTCTCCTGCCTCAGCCTCCGGAGTAGCTGGGATTATAGGCACCTGCCACTACACCTGGCTAATTTTTGTATTTTTAGTAGAGACAGAGTTTCAACATGTTGGGCAGGCTGGTCTCGAACTCCTGACCTCAAATGATCTGCCCACCTCAGCCTCCCAAGGGCTGGGATTACAGGAGTGAGCCACTGTGCGTGGCTTGATAATGAGTTTTTTAAGTAGTTTTTAATTCTAAATCAGTGTTGAACCTAGATCTTTACACAGTTCTCTATTTTATGTTATAACTAATTTTATTAAAAAAGAACAAAATACTGTACTTTTTTCCCCTACATTGTTGATTAAAATAAACTATTTGCTGTTTCTGGTTAGTAGGTGTTTTCTCCTTTTAAGATTTTGTCTGCAATAGCAATGATAAAATAGTGATACCTGTATGGGCGTTTGAAAAATTCTTCAGTCAAGAAGAGATTATTCTGTAATGGAAACCTACTTAACCTTTTAACCAACCCTGTAAATGAACCAGTAAAGTGTAAACTAACTGAAGAGCAGTTTGATAGACCTGATTAGAAGTTGTAGTCAGCTGTCCATTATTTTGTTACCCCTAAGGCATTATTTTAAATTTATATTTTTTTCCTGTTGATAACCTCTGAATGAAAGGCAAGCAATGTCATGTAGTGGAAAGAGCTAGAACTTTGGAATTAAACAGATCTGGGATCGAACCCTGAGTCTACTTCTTATGGACCTAATGTCAATTACTTAATCTCTGAACCAGGCTTTATAAAGTAGGACTAATAACACTTAATCTCGTAGGGTTGTTGAAAGTAATAAATAAGGAATGAGGCCAAGCACGGTGGCTCACACCTGTAATCCCAGCACTTTGGGAGGCCAAGGCGGGCAAGATCACCTGACATCAGGAGTTTGAGACCAGCCTGGCCAACATAGTGAAACCCCGTCTCTACTAAAAATACAAAAAAATTTAGCCAGGCATGGTGGCAGATATCTGTAATCCCAGCTACTCGGGTTGCTGAGGCAGGAGAATCACTTGAACCTGGGAGGCCGAGGTTGCAGTGAGCTGAGATCACGCCATTGGACTCCAGGCTAGGTGACAAGAGTGAAACACCATCTTAAAAAAAAAAAAAAAAAAAAAGGAATGAAAATAGTGTGCAGGGAATATAAAAAACATAAACGTGTAGCTAGTTTATTTATTTATTTATTTGTTTGACAGAGTCTTGCTTTGTCAGTCAGGCTAGGATGCAGTGGTGCTATCTTGGCTCACTGCACCCTCAACCTCCCTGGCTCAAGTGATCCTCTCACCTCAGCCTCCTGAGTAGCTGGGACTGTAGACTGATGTCACTAGACCTGGCTAAGTTTTTTTTTTAGTTTTTTTGTAGAGATAGGGGTCTCACTACATTGTCCAGGCTGATCTCAAATTCCTGGGCTCAAGTGATCCTCCTGCCTTTGCTCCCCAGAGTGCTAAGATTACAGACTTGAGCCACTGCACCCAGCCTTAACTGTTTTAGATATGCTTTGTCTTATTAATGCTTTATTAAAAGCATTAAGTCAACCTGGGCAACATAGAAAGACACTGTCTCTACAAAAAAAAATAGAAAATAAATTTTCTGGCCATGATGGTATGTGCCTCTAGTCTTACCTACTCAGGAGGCTAAGGCTGAAGATTGCCTGATCGAGGTTAGAGTGAGCTATAATTGTACCACTGCACTCCAGTGTGGGTGACAGAGCATGACCCTGTGTCAAAAAAAAAAAAAAATTTTTTTAAAGCATAAGTGAATGTGTAGCTCTTTAGCCTGTAGGCCAAAGGATATAGAAGGAAAAGAAACTTTCAGTTTTTGCATATCATCACTTCAATCCCTGGAACTATGTGTCCCTTTCTCATAGATCCTCCACCTTATCTGGACACTTACACAAGCTATAAAGCATAAAGAAAGGAGGAAAATTATGTGATTTTACTCAGACTCAGAAGTACTCCTCAACATCTGTTGGAAATGGAGGAAGGGTTCTTTCCAGTTAGTGACAGGAATGGGGAAACAAGTTGACTTCCTGTCTCTGCAGTGTCATATTTTTACAACATAATTAATATTTTTTCAACAATTTCTAGTCAGATTTAAAGCATAACTTATTTTGATGAAAGACTATAAATTCCCAGGTGATGCACATTGACATGTACTTTTCGTTCTTTCCCCCTGTCATTCTTGTGCAGCAATTTATCTCATTGCATTAAAACATTAGAAAATGCAAATAAGAAAAAAGAAAAAAAAATCATTGTTAATTCCACCAATGAGTGATAACCACTATTTTATGTATATTCTAATCTTTCTCCTATGTGTTCACATACAACTGTACTTACTCTTTTTTTGACCTAATCAATCAATGAATACGCAGTTGGTTATTATTAATGGCTGTTTGGTATTCCATACTGTGGCTCTACCATAATTTACTAATTCCTTATGGTGCACATTTAAGTTGCATTGTTTTTCACTATTGTAAACATCACAATGAACATCCTTATGTACATCTCCTTACCTGCTTCTCTGATTATTTTTGTGCCGTAAGTTGCTAAACATGGAATTTCTGTATTTATAAGATTTGTGCAGATTTTAAACTTTTGATTATATTGTCAAATAAGTAGGAAAAGCTTAAGGCTATGCCACATATAGATTAATCCACAGGGGGAAACCTATTTGTCCTATTATCATTTGGTCCATTACTCATGATTCTGTCTCTTTTTCACACTTTCTGTTTTTATTGAGGTAGAGAAAAATATATCAGGTAAATGAAATAAGGAAACTGCAAGCATTCTTTTCTCTTAAAAGAACAGTTTAAAGACTGCTAAAGATCTGTGGTGACAGGATTTATAGATCACAAATTATAGATTTCCCTATGTAATGTAAAATAGCTCATGAAATTGTGATGTATCTTCTGGACAGCCTATATTAGAAATGTACTTATGTCAAAATTCCAAATGAACTATAATATTTTAAAACATAGCATTCAGGCCAGATGTGGTGGCTCTGGGAGGCCTATAATCCCAGCGCTTTGGGAGGCCGAGGCGGGCAGATCACCTTGAGGTCAGGAGTTCGAGACCAGTTTGGCCAACATGGTGAAATCCTGTCTCTACAAAAATTAGCCGGGCATGATGGCGGGTGCCTGTAATCCAAACTACTCGGGAGGCTGAGACAGGAGAATTGCTTGAACCAGGAAGACGAAGGTTGCAGTGAGCTGAGATCATGCCATTGCACTCCAGCCTGGGTGACAGAGCGAAAATTCTGTCTCAAAACAAAACAAAAAGAAAACGTCCATTTGAGCAACCTTAAATAATTTTATGGTAACATGGCATAATTTAGTATTCAAATATTACCCAAGATTGAATTGTAATAAAACTTCAGGAAAATTTAATATTTATCTTCTGGTAAAATATTAATATTCCTTTGAGGATAGTTTATATGTCTTCTATACGATTTTCATTTCTCAGCATCAGAGGTAAAAAATATTTTTCACATAATTGGGTTTAGGTTCCTCAAATATTTAGGGAT